ACATTTGACAGCTTCCGTCAAATTGCATTTCGATAAGGTATTTTCCTATTGGTCCATGATAATAATGTTGGTGAAATCGGCCCTAAGTGTATGAAAACTGATTATCTTTTATTATTGTTTAATAAACATACATAACATTCAAATAAATATTTAATTTACATATACCACGAATTTCAGTTTTCATTTGAAATAAGTATGTTTTCCTCTTTGTTATCGAGTATACTCCTCATAAATATATATGTCATATCTATTCGCTGATGGGCGAAAAATGGCCCTTATCAGCCCACCTCCTTTCATTGTTTCCAAGAAATACGAGTTTATCCCTTATAACTGGTTAAAGAATCTAAGTTCGAAAAGATATATCTCAGAAACATATGATGAGCAATGATCCTCAGTTAAAGATAGTTCATTTTGAATCAAAGACATCCTTTTCTATGTGTATTTACACCATCTGGACGGTAGCATCTTCGTTCGTATAGAAGGGTGATACTAGTACTCCAAAAGAGTCAAAAGAGCTGAACCAGAAAATGTATCTGAAAGTTTTCTAATCAACCAGCTTGATTTCAGTAAAAGCAGCAACAGAGTAAGCAGGATAAAACAAGGTCATCTTTCGGATCCGGGTGAACTCCCGCTAAGTGCGGCTAATTTTCCTTCCTGTTTATTTCCATTGTGTTTTTCCGGGAACAGCTACGTCGGACAGCGAACGTTTCGTTCTATTCACTAACGTCATCGAAAAGAAACCAATTAGGGCGGATCACGCTTGGGTCACGCCCCTTACCTTATAGTGCAAGCGTTTTTGGAAAACGTCAGCAGCTTATCTTTTTAGCTAGTTCGGAGGGTCAAGACCAGAACGACTGAACAAAAAAGCTCTCAGTAAAACGGTCAAGAGAAAAACCTGGAAAATACTCTCAAGTGTCAGAAGTGGTCGCTAGGAGGCGTAATTTTTTCAAACTCTACTCTGAAATTTGAAATTTGTGGCGCTAAAGAAAATAAAACGATTTAAAAAAGGTTTTTAATCCCCGTAAGTGCTCGAAATGCTGACCATCTTGCTCTATGCATTCCTGAAGCTTTTAATGGGTAGACAAAACTGCAGATTCAATTTCGACTCTAGGAATGTTACGTATTGCGTTACGAATCCCGTTTTTCATATCTTCTCTGGTTGCAGGTTGAGTCTGAAACACGATGTCTTTTAAGCGTCCCAGTAAATAAAAATCAAGACAATTTAGGTCTGGTGATCCCAAAGGCCATGGAAAGTTTTCTTGTGTCGTCAAGTTTTAGGTTAGAAAAAATATATCGAGATACGGCTTTCGCGAGCATTTGGTTAATTTAGGGCCGATTTCATCAACATTAATATTATGGACAAATGGGAAAATACCTTATCGAAATGCAATTTGACAGAAGCTGTCAAACGCCTCAGAATATCAGTGATTTCTATTAAAATATTGAATAAAATCGTGAAAATTCGACTGTATTATAAACAAGACCACTTCTTGATTCCAACACGATGTTTTGTACAGAGAAAACAGGCAAACTTTCATGTATTTTGATTTGTGTTATAAATTTACATTTAACAATCAGATATCTCCAAAAGCCAATGGGAATGCGGCAAATAATAGATCGATTTTCTAGCTGTTAAATTTGGCAGCATATTTGGACGTTTGTTAATGCATGGCAAGTTCAATATACTGTTATCATTACATACCTTTTGAATAGTGTGGATATGTCTGTATTTTGCAAGAAAATAGAATATATAATACATTCCATCCAATTCCTCATCTTCCTTTACATCATAATAGTAATCATTTATTAATTTACGGGTTAATGAATTTCTTCAAAGCAATAAAAACATTGTCCTTTCCATCCTAGAACACAGATAATATGTGTAAGACGTGTCAATCCCTACATCTCCGTGATACATAATGCAATTACTATGGACATAGACAAAAACTTATGAAAAATGTCTCACAAATGTCTTTTAAGTCCAAAAATCATAAAAACTATTAATGTTTATTGTTCGATTGCCTTTTTCACTGGTGGGGTTATCTATCTGTCACTCGCAGGGTTGCCAAGTCTAACGACGATCACGTCCCGTGATGAAGGGTGCGACATGAATCTTTTACATTTGCTATATTTAAAGTAGGAATACAAACATAGTACTTATGATAGTTGGAGCTAGACTGATAACACTTCTTGAAGAATATTTGAAAAATGTGAACACCGTCATGGTCTGTTGTCAAATTGCAAATGAAGTACCTGAAAATTCTTACATACAGTGGACCTTCGTCATAGTTTACTATCCTGATTATGATCATTTTTAGCAGATGTGTTGTATCATCAAATTGATGAACAAATATAAGAAAGCTCTTATATACCTACATACAGAGGATTTTTCATGTGACTGTACTAGATATCATGATTATAAGCATCTTTGGTGGATTGTTCGATCCGGAATGGGAAAGATCTCCTATTTATGAAAATATTTTTGGTATCATCTAACCCTTGCAATCAGTGTACAAAAACTGTGACATATGATTTATAGCATAACCCGCTGCCCTATCAATACAAATTATATTCATGTCGCCTAACCGTAGGGATGCAGTGGTCGGGATGAATATCACGGCAGCAACTGATAATTTGGGCATGTCTGGTAACAACGTATGAAGTGAATCTTGCTAACTTCACAAATTTGAAGATTTTGTACAATTTCTTCGAAAATGATGAAAGATATGTCTGATTTGGCAGGGTAATGTCGCAGCCAAATGGCAGTCACTCTTTCTGACACAGTCCGGATCGAAAGATGACGATACTCGTGAAATGTATTGATACTTCTAAATATAATAATAATAATAATAATAATAATAATTAACGTCTTTTATTTGTAATATTCTTACAGGAGGCGAGATTTAGATTATATATCTATTCTACCGTCTAACCCCCTTAACAGTACGAGATGTAAAAAAAAAAAAGAATTTATTGAAAATTAATAGGCACCTGTATACAACAACGAATAATCCAAGTAAATACATAAGGAAAATATGAGGACACTTATGGGTTACAACCGATTTCGCTGCTGATCAAGAAGAACTTCTTTCACTTTTTTCTTGAATTTGGATAATGGATTGGTTTCTTTTAAACTGCGGTCTAAAGAATTATATGATTTGATCGCATTGTAAATGTATGAATTCTGAAATAGAGACGTGCTGTGGCGTGGAATTGGAAAAGTCTCTCTATATCTAATATTAATACGATGCATATTCCCTCTACGTATGAATTTGTTTACTAAATATGACGGTGTTTTTGAATAAAGAACCTTATGAGTCAGATTTAGGAGCTGGTACTTATACATTTTATCAATTTTCATCCATTTGAGTTCATTAATGGCATTCGATATATGATCGTATCTTCTGAGATCATTTTCAAGCCTGCAACATGTATTCATAATACTTTGAATACGATTTCTTGTTATAATATCTAAATAGGGATAGTAAACCACTAAGCAATACGATATCTTTGAAAATACGAAATATTCACACAATTGCTTTCTCGCAGATTTATGTAATATAGCCTTATTTGCAAATAAAACTCTGAGAATAGCGTAGCACTGCGTAATTAGATAGTTCACGTGTGCAACAAATTTTAAGTCATCATCCATTATAATACCTAGGTTTTTCGAATGATCCACAGGAATTAATGTATTACCTTTTAAATGTATGTCTATGTCCTTTTTTAAGGTATTCTTTTTTGTTCTATTTGCGTATACCAACATATTTGTCTTCAAAGGGTTCAAACGAAGATTATGACTACTACTGAACTTTTCAATTTGGGCAAGATCTTGATTAATTTTATTATTTGCGGTTTCTAAGTCATTACTCCTAAATGAATAGAAAATTTGAGTATCATCTGCAAAAAATTGTATGCTGCATGATTTTACCTCTGTTTCTAAATCTGAGATATATAATGAAAATAATAGCGGTCCTAAGACTGATCCCTGTGGTACACCAGAAGAAATTTTTTGTTCCGTAGAGTACTGTTGATTTAGACGAACTTTTTGATACCGATTTTCAAGGTAGGTTTGAATAAACGAAAGAGGTTTTTCAGAAAATCCATAGTAACTGCATTTAGATACAAAAAGCGAGTGATTAATGGTGTCAAATGCTTTAGTAAAGTCAAGAAGTATGAGAGCTACTGCTTTTTGGTTATCAAGTGCCATTATTATATTGTCTGTTAAATTACAGAGTGCCGAAGCTGTATTATGACCTTGTCGAAATCCAGATTGTTTAGATGGAATAATTTTGTTAGAATATAAGCACAGCTGCTCGTAAACAACGCGTTCCAATACTTTAGAGAAAATTGGCAGTAGACTGATCGGTCTCAGTTGACCATAGTTAGTAGGATCAGAACACTTAGGTAGCGGAATAACTATAGCGCGTTTCCATTGATTGGGGAAATATCCCCTCTCTAAACAGCAGTTTATAATATGCGTTAAGTAGACATCAATTTCAGGTATACATAGTAGTATCATATGCAAAGTTATTTCATCTGTACCACTAGAATTTGATTTTATTTTATGTATAATTTTAACAACGGTGTCAGTAGTCACTTTATTAAATTGAAATTTGAATTTTGAGTTATTTTTATTAGCTCGGTAATATGCAATTTTATCAGCATAAGCCAAATTACTATTCTCGAAAATTGAAATGAATGCCTCATTTATTTTATACGGATCGGACAAGCTCACGGGAATTGTAGAATCTTTCTGAGATTGTACTTTGAAAGTCTTTAGGGTCTTATAAAACTTTTGTATATCCTGATTTTGAACAGCTTGTAAATAATCTCTTTTTCCTCTTCGCACGAGCGTTAATGCACGATTTCTGAAATATGTATACTGTTGCCAAGAGGCGGCTGTACGATCACGTTTGAACTTTGACAAAGCTTCAGCCCTCTGCCTGAATACAAGTTTAATATTATCAACCAAGGAGCTGGAGCTTTGTTTACACGCACTACCTTTTTGGACAGTGAACATTAAATAAGCATAAAATACTATCTGTTAAAAAGTTAATTTTATCTTCAATGTCATCTATCGATATAATATGCCACCATGGAAAACTCTTGAGATCTTGTTCAAACGCTATTTCATTTAAACTATGGAAATCCCTGAATGTAACAAATTTCTGTTGATTTTTAGGAAGTGCAATACGTATATCACAGAAGGTTAAATAGTGATCAGTAATCATATCAGCATTAATAGTGCCACTCCTAAGATAACTTTCAGGCTTGCTCAAATAAATAGGATCTAAGAGAGTGAGTGTCGATTCAGTTATTCTAGTCGGTTCAGATATCACCTGTTTCAGATTATAAGAATCAAGGCATTTAGTCAAGTTGTTACAAACTAAAAGCAAATTAACATTGATATCCCCTGCAAGGATGATATCATCATATTCAGCTAATATGGCAGGCAACATGTTATCAAAGGTATTACCGGCTTCTGTAACAGAGCTATGTGGGGGCCGATAGAATATACCAATAGCAATTTTTTGTTTTGGAAGCTGCACCTTCAACCATATATATTCAAGACTTGGGTCTTGCCCAAATGAAATTATGGAAGAGTTGTAGTGGTTGTTTACAAAGACTGCAACCCCACCACCTCGCCCATCTCTAACACAGCGATAGCAGTTGTATCCATTCATTCTTATATGGTCATTAGATATATCTTTTGATAGCCACGTTTCCGATATTCCAACAATATCAAGGTTGTTGTTTTGAACCAGTGTACTAAATTCATGAAATCCTGATAAAACTGATCTGCAGTTTATATGACCAAATTTTAAAACCTTGAATTTATCACTATTCATATTCAATTCTAGATTTCAAGTATGTAACATATTTTTTATAAGTTGGACAATCCAAGTCTTTAGAAGAATGACTACTATCAAATTGAGTGTTGAATTTAGAATTGTGATTCATACAGTTTGAACAATTCTTAAAAGCAGATTTACAATTTTTTTCCAAATGATCTCCAGCACATAAAGGACATGATACTTCAGAATGTATGCAATTTTTTTCCATGTGGCCAAAACCTGAACATTTATAGCAGCGTATAATTCGTACATAATCCCGCACAGGACATCTTTGCCAACCCATGTATATATGACCTCTATCTAGCAACGTTTTTCTAAATTTTGGGCTAACCTCAATGACAACATTTAAAGTAGATTCGGAACATCTGAAAGTGGTTACAGTTTTTATATCATCACTACTGAAAATACCAAATTCATTCTGGGACAAGATCTTCTCGATTAATCCCTCAGATTTTGTGTAGGCGCATTCTACATTATTTATCACCATGCGTGGGCGATATTTCTTGATCTCATTGACAGTGAAGTTCGCACCGAGTTCTCCCTGTATACTCGCCATCAGCTTGGACATTGATGCTTCATTTTCGCAGCTAAGAATGATGCCATTATTCACCTTCCTCACAGAGTTCACACAGATATTTGACTTAGCTGGATCAATACTCTTCTTCAAATCTTCCAACACATTAGAGTTTGATTTGTCCGTACTTTTTATCATCAACTTTTGTGTATTATTAATTTTATCTACAATCTTCTCATCTCTGCTTTTTTTTGACTCTTTTACAGCTCCACTATATGATTTAATTACATCATTACAACGGGTGTATGAGGTAGTAGCTTCTATTTTTTCAACTCTTTCATTTATTTTCCCCAAAGAAGTGATTATGGTTTCTTTATCCACTATACTGCTAATGATCAATTCATAATGCTCCTGTAAACGTCTGTTCTCATTAACTAATTGATTGATATACCTCTTTTTATCTAAAATTATTTCATTCTTTGTTTCTAATAGCTTCTTCAGGTACTGTACTTCTTGCTCTATGGTAGTATTTGCATTATTCTTGGATAAATAACTTTCATCTTTATCTTCTTGTTGCTCTTTTTCATCTTTCTTTTTTCGTCTAGTCATATCGGATAAACACCCTATGCATAGGCTAGGTTGAAAGTTGACATATCTTGACAAAAATGTGACTTTTGTGACACAATTTCGGGAGAGGTTAAAGAAAAATGATCGAAAATGCTTGGTTCGTCCTCGGAAGAGCTGCTAACGTTTCTGTAAGTACTTACTGGTGTTATCTCTTGTATGGTTACTTCTCCAGAAGATTGAGTACGATGTTTCTCACACTTTACGTATATAGCAGGAGCAGGTATTTTTTTGATAGATAAGTTGACGAGATGGATCGAGTCTCCAATATAGGATCCTACCGAACATCGTTACTGTCAAGATGTATAACCCGAGGTACCGACGGAGCTATTTTGCGGCGTCGTGGAAATAATTTTAAATTTTTATTTGCATTTCCAAGTTTTGTGCAACGATTTTGGGAAAAATTCCACGAATATTCTTATAAAGCATAGTAGAGTATATTTCAACAGTTGGCGGAACTTACTCCACTGGGACCAGGAGAATGAAACGGGATATTAATGCACAATCTGGCAACCCTGTCTCACCCTCACAAAATGTCCGCTGACAACCACACAAGTCACCGTGTTGTCATTGAATAGCATGAAATTAAACCTTCTTCAGAGTATATGTTTTGTGACTGGGACCAAGGGTTGACAGATCCCACACATGTGTCACTCGACGAGTCTTGAGATGCAATAATCAGCTGTATTCAAATAATGTCTTTTTAGAATGTGTACGCGTGAAAAAAAATATGGCATATTTGTAGTTTTTTGCAGGTTTTAGGTTTGCTGGTAGCTTTAAGGCTTATATTTGGGAATTTCTTAATCGCTGTGAATATAGTGTGGATGTTTGTTTAGTTCCTGAACAACGAAAAATATTCAAGCTTATGGATGTGTGGATATCAAAAAACCTGAATGGTTTTGTGGGAATATCAATCTAAGGTGCCATAATGGTTCTGATGAACGGCAAGTAAATGAATGAATGTTTGGAAACGAGCAATATCTATGAACTTTTTGGTGGAGCCTGTCATCAAGTAGGTGCTTAATGGCTACCTGCGAGAGGTTTATAGGAAAACAAAACACGGGAGGTGATGTTAAATCAGTAAAATTGCATACCATTTGAAGAAAATAATATAAACATGAATAAAAAATCAACAATAGTAATTAAAACATGAATTTAATTCAAAAATCAAACTATTCTTTAAATTATGAATGAATTATATGTAATTTCTTATTATGCAATAAGCTGGTGATGTTTCAATGACAAGATGTCATCTCATACTTTGACAGTATTTTGTTTTCTACATTTCATAGCTATTGGTTGCTAAAATTTGTTGATTGGAACTTTAAGCTCATTCGTTATATTTAACGGACTGTTACCCTATAGGTGGAGAATAACGGACTGTTGATTTGACAACCTTGGTGAAACCCACCGTTAATCTTTTTGAGAAAATTAACCAGTTTTGTCGGAATGTCGCAGAAAGCCCTCTAGCGGCCACATGTGAAACCAACAAAACTTCAAATATTATAATATTTGTAGTCCAGGAATATTAATTAAATTAATTTTCAAATGTCCTAAGTTTGTTGAAAGCGCCTCAGTTCGTTCGAAGATACAGGGTGTTTTTTTACGGAAACCTTCGCACACCTCCACTACTTTATTTTCTTTTAGCCGTTTAGGTAACAATTTTTTTGCCGCAAGCCTCTGCGATGGATAGGTTCCAGATACCGTACCTCGCATTGTCAGTTGGCCACCCTATCCAATAACACCAATAAAGCTTTGTAAATAAGCAAACCAAAAACCCCACCTCATTGCTTACATGATACTTGAATTAAGCTTGTGCCAATTGTGTTGACCAGGGGCGAACGAGGGTTTTTAAAAAATAACTTTTATTTCCCGCTGATGAATCTAGCTACCACTACAATAGTTGATAGCTATGTGATTACCAAACAAAAGGTACAACGGTTTTTATAAAGTCGTATAACAGGAATACACACATAAGCTAATTCTTAAGAGGCATGGAGGACGTATCATTTTGCATATATGAGATAATTCTAAGTTCTAACAACGGTAATAGAATGACATAAGATAACGCCAAGATGATGCAATATAATAATTATATTGTATAGAGTGAGCCAACGTACATAACTTCCCACCACTGATAGACAACATTCGTGATATCAAGAGCGACGACGTGCACCTCAGTGGATCAGGCTATGGTGAACAACTCAACAACCAATTCGGAATGACGAACGCCACTGCAATATATGACAAACGAGGTGTGTCCGGATAAAAAAGTTTAATCAGCAGCACCGCACGATTCCCGCCAACGAACGCAACGGACGTTTTGTTTCCAGGTTCTTTCCAGACAACCGGCTGTTCTAAACTTCATTATCCTTGCCGGCTATGCTAATAGACTTTCCGCCTTTCTGGATGCGGGACACTCTACCTGGAAAAGAAAAACATTTCCACGTAAATACAGGATCGGATCACTTTTATTGTACTCATATTGTCTTGTCTCTATATATTGTAACTAAAGCACCGTTTTACTATCCGAAGTCTAATTTGTTACTCTAATACAGTGGTCGCCAATCCGTCGATCGCCAGCTACCGGTAGCTCCCAAAGGCAATTCTGGTGAATCACAACATATTTGAAAAAGGTCTAAGTAGCTCAGTCCACTGAAGAGGTTGGCGAGCACTGCTCTAGTTTATGACACTTAAAACTATTTTATTCCATTCAAATTCAAATTCAAAATATTTATTTCGTCACGAATAAACATCATAAACAAAGGAAATTCTACATATAGAGCAATGACGAAAATGGACAGTCTCTCGATTATAAAACCGATACATTGGACCCTTTAATACAAAGAGTCCATGCGAGAAAGCCCTGAACACCCTAAACGTCCTTAAACAAAATAAAAAAAAACAATAAAGAGGCAAATGAAGAGGTGGTGAAACACAAACAGGCAAGAACGAAGAAAGAACCCCGGGTGCTGGCAACGGACGCGAAGAACAAATCTATACAACTTGTCAGCGAGTAGGAATGTAAAAACGATATTTTTAATCACACAAACGCTGCTAAAGTAGCTGGTGATTCTGTAACAACGTTTTTGTCAGTTTTGAGAATGTTTTTGATGATGAGTTTTTAACTGAAGTTGGTATATTATTCCATAAGTGAACCGCCACATAGGCAAACGATCGTCAGAAGGAACGCGTTCTATGCCTAGGTACGATAAAATTGAGATTATTTCTGCTTCTCTGGGTACTAGGCAAAGGCACAAATCTTTCTCTTGAATAGGGCGGTTGACTTGTTTTTATATATATTTTATATATATATATGATAAAAGAATACATGTGATATTTTCTGCGATTAGTCATGTTTGATATGTTGTAGTTATTCAGATAAGGAGTGATATGGTTTCGATATGGAATTCCAAACGCAAACCTCATGCAACTATTTTGAACTTTTTGAATGCATTTTTTGGTTCGCGATGATAGCGAATCACCATAGACGACATCTCCATAGTCAAAAAGTGATAAAATTAAGGTATTACACAAATAATATTTTTGTTTGGCTGATAAATGTTTTTTTAATTTGATTATATTTTTTAGACGCTTGTAAGCTAAATTTGTTCTGTTTTTTATATGACTGCCGAAGCCAAGCGAGCTATCAAATATAATGCCTAGATTTTTTGCCTCTTGAACTATGGGGATTCTGTCATTGTTAATAGAAATTACTAAATTTTGTTCAAAATGTTCTCTTTCGTTACTGTTTTTATTCATAACCATTACTTGCGATTTTGAGGGGTTTAGTTTAAGATTGTGATGCTTTGAGAATCTGTCAATTGTTTGGAGATCTGAATTTAGTTGTTGTTGTGCAATATGGATTGTGGTTTTATTGACAGGGAGATATATTTGTGAGTCATCTGCATATTGTTTTATCTTTGCGAATTTTACCGGTTTGACCATGTCAGAAATGTAGATTGAAAATAGCAAAGGAGATAAAATTGAACCTCGAAAAACTCCTCTTTTTATAGGTTTAAAATCGGTTTTGTAAATAGCAGAATCATTTGCTAATATAACACAGTTTGAACGGTTGCTTAAGTATGTTTTTATTAGATTTACGGAGTTCTGCGAAAACTCCTGGTAATGTAACTTAGCTATAGTAACATTTCATGATTCAGAGTGTCGAACGCTTTACTGAAATCGAGAAGAAGCATGAACGTACTATTTTTTTGTTCTCCGTGATGTCTGATATTACCCAAGATATTAACTAATGATGTACTTGTGCTAAAGTTTTTCCTAAAACCGAATTGACTATCGGGTATGATATCGTTTGTGTCACAAAAAAATCTAATTTGATTATGAATATGCCTTTCTAAAATTTTAATATGCTAATAGGCCTCAAGTCTGTAAATTCTTTAGGTTTTGCTATTTTTGGTAAGGGTTTAACAATAGCTTTCTTCCATACTTATGTATTTTTTTCTCGGATAATTGTATGCTTTGTATAGTTCCTTAGTTGTTTATAATATTCAAAATGAGCCTGCGATTTTGATTTTTGAGATTTTTTTATGAGCTTTATCTCTTAGTCTGATTAAAATTCTTATATTTTGAGTTATCCAGGGTACATACGGTTTTTCGGTTATTTGTTTTGTTTTTATCGGAGCATGTTTATTCAGAACAGTTACTATATTTTTATTAAAGACTTCTATTTTTTGTCCGATTTGGTTTATATAGTTAATATCCTCCCACCCAAGTAGAAACCCTTTGTTTAAGAAGGATTCTCTGTCTATATTATTGTAGTCTCTATATTTAATAGTCTTTTGTGATTTTTTTATTTTTGACTTTCGAAAGGCTGAGTAAATTAAGTTATGATCTGAGAGATTTTAAGAAACCGCCAACGATTTAGAATCAATAGAGATAAGACCCTCACTAGCACAGATTATATCTATTTTATGACATATTTATAACCATGGTGTCTGGACTACTTCATGCCGGGATGTTTG